GACTAACATATTGATACTAACACCCAAAAAACTTTAATTTTGATTTCATGGGGACTTTAGGACACAGAACAGCATACATTGTTTACGTCCAACTGAAATTCTCCAAAATGGCAGCAGGGTGATGCGGAGGAGACGAATTGTTGAATAAAGTCTTCTTTTTTTTTTTTCTTTTGCGCACAAAAAGGATTCTCGTAGCTTCGCATAATTGCGGATGAACCACTGATGTCACATGGATTATTTTACAGATCTCCTTGCTACGTTTCTGGACTTGGGAACATTTCAGTTGCGTTGCTGTCTATGCAGGGTCAGACAGCTCTCAGATTCCATTAAAAATATCTTAATTTGTGTTCCGAAGATGAATGAAGGTTTGAAACGACATGAGGGTGAGTAATTAATGACAGAATTTTCATTTTTGGGTGAACTAACTCTTTAAGTTCATTAATGTCTCTCGGTACCAAGTAAGAAACATTTGAATGGCCTGTGAACATGTCTGTAGTTGGCACAATTAAGGGCTTCTCTCCTGCTTGCATCAGAGATGGAGCTGCAGGGAGTCTTTTTCCTAACTTAGCAATGACATTTGAAAAACTTCAATGTGTTTTCAGGAATTTGTGTGGGGTTTTTTTTCATTTTGAATTCCTACTACAAGCGGTTCAGAAATGTGAAGTATTACGCATTACATGACCTCCATTTCACATAACTCTGGTTCCCCTTTCAGCCTGAAAGGAAAGTTTGGGCCATTTTGGATGTCATAACACTGATTTGTAAATTATGTGGTGATTAAAATGCCAATAAAGATTATTTCTCAGCTGTGTTGTTTTGTTAAACCATGTTGGCTCTTGATTTAGGGGTTTTATCAAAACTTATAAAAGATCAACCCGTTATGCGCAGTGCACAACAGTAGTCTTGATCTGTTTTCTTTAAGGAAAAAGTGCTATTTAAATTGAGCCTGTCATGTGTTTTTATGGGGAAACAAGAAGAATAATCTCTCATGTCAGCAAATATTGTGTCACAGTTCAAGTATGTACATAACATTGCTGATATCATGACTTGATGAGTGAAGTAATGAATGGACTTCTTAGTAAAGTTTAAAGTTCTCTACATATTCTATAGATGCTATAGACAATTCAAAAGCATTTTGTAGTTATGAAATACCTTTCAATTCTGTCAAAGTGTTGTCACTGACTTATGTCAATGGGAGCTTTATAAGTCTCGCTAATTAATGATGGTGAAACAAGGTTAAGTACAGGAAAAAATTGAGCAATGATGCCCCACCTGCTTCAGTCTGCCAAATACTTTTAAGCTGTCTTGAGTGAAATGAAAAGATTTAGCATTATTCCCAGTGCACAAACTGGGAATAATGCTAACTTTTTTTTTCTTTTTTTTTTATGTATTAGCTTCCTGGCATTTGCCTTAAATTATATTACAATAATTTTGTGCAAGTTATTACTGGGAGACGTCAATAAAGCCAGGTGAAAGTCAGAATGACTCCGCATAAACTGTTTTCCAAATACTCCTTTTTCATTGTTTTGGTGTCCTTTCACCTCTTTCAATGGATGAAATTAATATTTAACCATGAGTTGTTAAGTAGATTTCAACATATTTATCTTGAGATATTTATTTGAGATCATTTACATTTGAATATTGATCTTCAGCTATAAAATTATCAAATTATCAGTTGTAATAAATCATAAGTTAATATTTGATAGCTTTCTTTGACGTTTAAATAATTTCAATTCTCTGTCACTGGAATCCAAGGTAGGTGATACTTCACAACATGGTTGTATACGTTAACATTAGTCAGCACATATTAACAGTGTAGTTAAAATGAACTAAAACCATGAGAAATATTTTCACAGTATTTATGGTCATTGTTAATTTCTATATACTATACGAAACATTTTTCCACATTTTAAATTAATATATTATGAATAATAGAATGTCTATACATTAACACTACCCAAGCTGTAAAAAGTGATTGTTTGCTGTTATGATACCTAATGCTAACAAATGTTAACATAGAACCTTATATAAACAAATATAAACAAACCCAAGTTTGCCTTACACCGCAGTTGCTTCTTTTTCATTCTCGTGGTTTCTGTGCAGATTGTATGGATGATGTTGCATAAGCATTTACATAACTTTAGAGCTACCATGACAACAGCACAGGACCTGTTGAATCAGATTTTCATGTTACCATTCTTTTGCTCTTGAGCTGATGAAGCGACACATTGTGATAACACAGACTTGGTTCTCTTTGTGAGTGCTGCTGACTCTTGGATAGACTAAAGAGAAATGCTTTCGGAAGCCTTTTGAATAGGGCCCCACATTCTGCCTAACTGGAAACTTGTTGGGTCATAGTGTGAAAGGGCTAAAATGAAACATTTGGTCCATGACAAAATGCTTGTGTTAAAGCCACTCATTACAGATAGGAAAATTTATACATTTAAAATTAAAAAACGATTAGAAAAAATCTAAATTTGAAACTATTCATCTCTGGATTAATAATTCCAATATGTGTAGTCTACAGATATCATAAAGGGCACCTATTATGCCCCTTTTTACCCCACAGATCATTTATTATATCCTTTTAAAAATGCCTATTTTAATAGGAAGCAGAATCAGCTGTTTTCGTGCATATATCTTTAAATGCAAAGGAGCTGCTGCTCCCCGCCCCCTTTTCCTTGCTGCTCATACCTCAAATACTCTGCCAAAAAACATCTGTTTGGTTTTGATTATCATGTCTATTGTGCTGAAATCATGCTTTTTAAAGCCATTTCAGATAAAAATTCTGATATAGTGTTTTCTGAGCGCACACATCCGAAGCACGTCCTACAGAAAGCGGCTGTCACATGCAGGGTTGCCAGGTTTTCACAAGCAACTAGCCCAATGCATTTCCAGGGGATAAATATCATGTTATTGGAGTCGCTTTAACCCGCGGACATAAAAAACAAATCGGGCCAACAGTGTTAAAGTAGCCAAATTCCGAAAACCACGGAACACTGGTCACACAGCATGTGAGTAACTTAACTTTACTAAAGTAAGTTCTCTTTCATGTCTTATTGCGCTTAAACTGTCAAATACACACAAGGTCATGTTAAAAAAATTATAAAAATTACAATACAAAAATGAAATTTAAATTACCCTGCTTCTAAATAAATAAAGCAGTTTTTTTTATTTCGTTAAAAATGGGCCAAATAAAACCTCCGAACTTGTAGGCTACCAGAAGGGGGGGGGGACTTAATGTTTTTGCTCAGAATTCGTTTTTAATCCCTGCATGATTTTAGTCATACATGATAAATATCAAATACATTATAGCTTGACTACAAGTTTAAATACAACGCTGCAGTTGTTATAATTAAGGAAATTAAACTCTACACAGGCGATAATGCCAAAAAGAAAGGGAAACGTCGGAAAATAGGCATATTTTATTCAAGACAATATTATATGACATCAACATGCATTTATCATTCTTAGTTACAATCCCCGCCAGAATGTCCAACTTCACCATGATGAACTTAAAATTGGGTTCTATTATTTTTCCTCAACACTTCTCCTCACAAAACGAAATTCATTTCAAACACAAATTTGAAAAGAACAGTGTGGAAATTATTAGCAACACCAAAAATAACAGCAAAGCTAATGTTTTCTGTTAGTTTAAGCACAAACTAAGAAAAGTAAAACCAAACTTTGTGGCAATAATTACCGTAAGACCAAACTGAACATGGTGTGTATTTATGGTGCATGTAGGCAATGTTGTCTCAGTGGGGGCGGGGCATGGTGGAGGTGGGGCTTAGGTAGACGATATTATCGTATATCGCAATATTTTTAAAGGCGATTATCAACAAGATATTTTTGACATATTGGCCAGCCCTAGCGCATACCAGTCATTGGCCAGATTCCTGAGTGACGGCCAGATTAACCAATCATGCTCTCAGAGCAACACTGAGAGACAGCAA